ATAGCTTCCAGCAATCGCAGTATTGTCCACAATAATCGCAATATGACTTTTCCAAATCGTGCAGCCCTATTAGAGACTAACGTTAACGTTACCATGAATCGGCATTTATTGTTATGGCTACTGGATATTTGACAGCTGATAATACATTGTCTGTCTTCATAGGACAACACAAAAACATGTTGTTGACTATTGTTGTTGACTGTCATCTATATATCGAGGTCTTGCTCCCTTGTTCCATTTTCTCTCAAATATGTGACATAATAGTAGTGTCAACCAAACTGAGGCATCTTTTATAGTTAACGTTATATTTTGCATTAACTACCTGCAACATTTATTACTCATTTATTTTCCTTCCATAGTCACAGTGTGGATCAGATGTCCCACCTGGTGCCAGACAGCGGCAGAGTTGAAAAGTGAAAATGCTCCCAAAAATGTTTCATGGTTCATATGAAATGTTGAAAAGTAATTATGCAGTGCACTTCTATGTGTGCAGGAGTATTTTCACTTTCCACCTTATACTTTAAGATACATAAGGAGTCTTACACTTGAACTTACGCCTGAATAGTTTTTGAAGAGTGCCTTGTTTGCTGCTCTGATTTAAGTCTAGTTTGAACACAGAAGAATGTGCACACATCCAAACCAACCTGTGGGTAAGTGACGAAACAAATAACCTGCACAGAGTAACAATGAATCCAACTAGGTGGTATCATTAATTGTGATGCAAACTCTGAGGTCTCAGAGCTAATCGAATTTCCCTGTGGTAAATAAGTGCTTCTCAACAATGTAAGCCGCCTGTGCCAACATCACCTTCTACAGGGCTTCAAAACTATTCAGTGGGCAGATAATTCTTTGGTTTTCATAATAGAGTAACTTCTCAGTGAATGTCACTTTTATCTCTTGAGGAAATGTCTAAATGAAACAAATATATAACATCAGATTTTAATTTTTTAGTTTTTACTGACACATATGCAAAATGTTAACCTATAATACCATATTAAAATTTTCATTTACAGCTGTTAACTAAGTTTAGATCACACTATATTCAATTAACATAAGAAGCTGATGAATCAAGAATGTAAATTTAGTATGATCAATTTTATATAGCAAAAATTATTTCTAATATATTGAAAAGTTACAAAATGTAAAAGTTGTTTTGTATGACTTAAAGTAATGTATTGTAACAGTAAATATAACCTATGTAAAGGAACCCAGTGTCATAATTTGAAATCAGTAGAGTATAACAAAAACAAAAGGCTGAACAAAGTAAGCTACAGGATCTGGCAGGGCCACACTGGGACTTCTGTAGAGCTGGACTCTGGTCCTTCACATCTGCTATCAAAGTACGGGGCTGGAAAATGACGTGCGCAGGAGGCTAACTGTAGATTATTGACCGCCTTATCACTGTCTGTATTAACAGTAAAAACAAGCAATCCTCACTAACATCTGTGGAATTTCACTTCCTAAAAACTTGTTGGAAAGGGCATAAAGACTTTATGTTTACAATACACTTGCTAGGTAGCAGCCAACAGTTTTGTTATGTATTTTTCTTTTTTTGCTGAAGCTGGAATTATGCTTCTCAGGGATGCATGTAAGCTAACATACACGGTTGCTGTTCAGACACATTCAAATAAGTGTTTGTTTTACACTTATACGTAAAATGTAAGTGTCTTCTAGTAGGAACAAGTGCCACATTTAAAAAAAAACACAACGTAAAGATAACATGAAAGAAATCAGGAAACTGAAATCAATTTCACCTCTGTGACAGTGTAAACAAACCACAACATCTGACATTTTAAGAGGATATATTGCTCTATATGCTCTGCTAGAACATCTCTTGTGGCAGTACTGTGTTGAAATATATACCCACACTCTGAAAGAAAAAATTGAGAAAACTTCCCAAAAGGATGTTGGATCAACCAATCAGCTTGGTGAAACGTGCAGGTCCGCACAATGCATTGTTGATTTTTGGGAGGTATGTTTGTCTCCTTGCAGAGGAGTTGACGTGACCTACAGTTGCCCATAACACCCCTCTCTGTGTATGTATGCAAAGATGTTTACATGTACCTCTACAGAAGCGTAAGTCCAGTTTAACTCAGAATCGTAAAATACAGTAAATGTTGATACATATGTTGAACCCTGCTGAAAGCATTGATCCTGCCCTTGAGCAATTGGGTCTGTCTTGAACATTTCTTAGAGGCATAGCTTAGAGGCTCTTGTAGATTCCCTTATAATTTTCAGTCCTTCCTCTTGTGGCCATACTGTATCCGTACAGTCTGTACAGCGAGGCTTTTCCTGTAACTGCAGCACATTTCAGATTCTTTTTCTTGATGTCTTTTTTTCAGACCAGCATCAATTTTCAGATATAAGGCGAAATTATAAGCCTTGGGATGGAAAACAATTTTGTTCTCTCTCCCCCCTCCTGTTCTGTTGCACTCACTCTTTTCTTCAAACACAGACTCATGATCACACACACACAGCGTGCGGGGTGACTAATTTCTCTTGGGCTTTGGACTTCAGTGTAAGAGAGGGCAAGAAGGAGAAAATGAAACCGTGAGGAGAAGCAGTGGTGCATTGGCAGCTCGGAGGAAGCCACCCACATCGACGGAGCCTGATACCTCTTGTCTCATCTTTTTGGCCGCCTGTCTGTCTATTCTGTCTCTTCTGTCTCAGAAACCAGTGGAAGCCCAGAGCACCCAGCATGTGTGTTGCCTCTTTGGGACTGTGTCGATTTGATCATTGTTTACTCCCCAGTATCAGGTACTGGTGACACATCACAAGCAACCTACGTGCGTGGTGCTCCCATCTGTGAGGAGAAATTGAAATCTAAGTGTGCTGTTTTTGCATCCAATTTGAGGCATCTTTACTGGATTCTGTGGAGTGGAACGGCTGCCAGTCAGTAGTGCTTTGTTTACTCTCTGTGTCCTGCTGACAACTGGCTGGTACAAATATCAGCTGCTGTAGTGTCACACACTGTGCCCTTGTACAATTTAGTAAACATTGAACTGAAATAGGTTTTGTGGCACTTGTGTTTTATTAAGTTATACATTGTGTCATTAGGGAACTGATTTAAATTGTGGGTTCATCACCAGATAAAATTTTTTTTGAGAACCTTTAGTGAAACACTGTGCCCCTCAAGTACCTTGAAATCTGTTCAAATAAAGTGAAAGTAGTTCAAGAAAAGGAGCGACAAGTACAAAAGGCCAGAAGGGGCTACTTTTCCAGACCCTGATTGAGTGACTGCGATTACTGCATGAACACTGCATGTTGGCTCAACTTTATTTTTTATCTGTGTTTTCTGAATAGTGTATATTAAGAAAAGAAAAACGGTAGCATTCCTTTCCAGATGCACGGTGAGAAGTGATACGAATACCAAGAAAAAGTAGTTTTGCTATATGTCTGAAAGGAAAAATCAGCAACAAATGAAAAGCAATAATGAGCAATACTATTGAAATATCAATAAATATAAACATTTATAGACATTTATATACATTCATAAGTGAATTTCACATTTCAAAGAGGCCATGTCATGAAAAAATAATGTATTAATGTCATATAGATCAGTTATAAGCCATTAATAAGAACAACTTTTGGGGGCATTCCAGTCGGGTCCCTTTGTTGCATGTCATACAGTGTATCCTGTCTCTTCCCTCATTTCCTGTCTGCCTCAGACGAAAAGCCTAAAATTTAAATTTTTTTTGTTGTTGCCAGGTTGTAGCTGCTCTTTAGTTCATCAGGGAGACCTTGTCAATGGACCCACATACCTTCTGAAAATCAGCATCTGGACCAAAATCCATTTATTAATTACTAGCATTTATAATTACAGACTGATGGCTCATTAGAAAGTGAAAAACTCATTATCCTCATGACACTCAAGTCTGCAGTTACTAAAGTTAGTAAGTAATTAATAAAGGGTCATTCATTTATTACATTCTGATAAGCCGTTCAATCTGCAGTTATGTTAGTAAGTCAATAAATGCTACTGGCTATATAACTTTTTAAGGCATCAAGTCTACAGTTACAAACATTAGTAAGCTATTTATAGAGGTCTTCCTGCTGAACAGAAGAGTCAGCTAAAGAGATAAAACGAACATCATGTTGGATGATAAATACCAATCAGAGATTTTTCACATTTGGATTTGGATTTAGTAATAATTTATAACTGTTCTGTAAAGTATTAGTAAATGTTTATTAGCAATCAATAATGCCACTAGCTGTAATTTAGGATGCCTTATTAGAAGGAGATACTTGTCTTTGTTTTTTTTGAATGAAAGGTTACCAGATGTAAAATGTGACGATGCACAGCGGAAAGAAAGAAAACATGGCTCTCTTATTTGTTGGGACCTCACCCACTGAGGTGTTCAGGTATTGAGGTTGGACTTATTCTGATAGGATGTCTTTGTCTGGTGTTAATACTGTGAGGTCTCTCTTTGAGTCTTTACAAATCTCTCCACTGGCTATTAATGGAATATTGTCACCTCACTGCAGGTCAGCACTCAGAGAATTAGGCTGAAATTTTGTGCCAACACATGCGTGTATTTGAATTGTGTCAGAATATGGACATTTCTGTCTGTCAGAGTAGTCAAAACTAATGCTATGCAGGACTTAGCATGCACTTGTGTCACCACGCTAAGTGCTATGTGACTTAGCAAGTTTTACTCCTGACACAGAACACCTTTCTGCACCATGATTACAGACATAAATAATAGGAGTATTTTTGCTGCCATTCCCTTCCTCCCTCTTGTACATCTCTTAACACCTCTTCCCCTGGCCCTAATTCATTTAAACATTTAAAACAGGGACCTCAATTATTCATGTCCCCCAGCCGTCTGTGGCCCTGGCCTAACCTCCTGCTGTACCCCGGTGAAGAGTGTGTCAGGATGGACACATTCCCAGCCTGCTCATTAATGGATGCCTCCATTGACACTAGAGGTCTATTGCACTCACTCTCTGCCTGCTTTCACTGCCAATCCAGCATGTCGTCTCTTCCCTCTCTCACACAGACGATGTGATGTTTTTTTTGCACAAATGTCATGAAGTCGTGCAAATAAGGTAAAAGGGCGTCTTCACCCCACTGGCCTGTTAAGAGGACAGACTGTTCGACAAGGGGCCAGACCACAGGAGTTGAGACTGGTGTAAGTAGGCAACATACATTTCTCTTTTTTTCTCTCCGTCCTTTTAACTCTTAACTTCTGTCCTCATATCCTTTCTATGTAGCTGGGACCCGTATTCTCCATCATTCAGCTCTCTATGTGGGTGGTGGTTACCTCCTGTGCCAATGCTAAATTTAAAGAGCAGTCTGTAACAGAAGGGAAGGTTCTAGGGGGTCATTATACTGAACATTCACCACAGGGAACACAACTTGAAGGGTAAAACAAGATGAAAAGTGAAGTAATTAAGGACTGCAAAATCATACTTTCGGTATTTTCTACCCATTAAAAAGAGTAGATTATAGGATGAGGTTTTTTTTGCAAAACAGGAGTTTATTATCTACTTCATCATCTCATCCTCATCATTTTTTAAATTTTAGTTGGAGAAACTGCATGCTATAAGAAATACAATTACAAATGTTTGCTACTGCTCTACTTTCCAGGAAACAGCCACAGTCGGCAGCAGCAAAAAAATGGCTGCTACGTAATTCTTGCGGGCAATTGCGCCCCGTCAAAGTACGTCCACTAATGTGTTTTTTGCCACTGACAGACTCAGGTTGTCTGACAACATTTTAAAGAGTAAAATAGTTTTTGTTTAACCAGAAACAGCCGCTATATCGCCCCGTTCAAAGCCGCCAGACTCCCTTAATAAAAAACGTTGGAGTTGCTGGTCTACCAGCTGCCTCAATCGGTTAGTTTGTTTGTGTTTTGTGTGACTTTGGTGTTTTTATTAGGTTATGTTATTATATAGCTTAAGGTTTAAAGGAATAAAACAAAAAAAGGGTTCAACCAAAAGGATCTTATTCTTTTATGAAAGGTCTGTCTCTGTAGGGATCCTTTCCATAATGTTGTCAGACATGTATTATAACAATCTGAGCCTGTCAGTGGCAAAAACAGGCATATTAGGGGATGTATTTTGATGGGACACAATTGCCTACAAGGATTATATTGCAGCCCTGTATCGCAGCTTGCTCAATACTGGACCAATTTCAAAAAAATGTTGTCCCCAGAAGCCACTTATACTTTGAGGGGTGCAGTCGGACAGAGAGGCTGCGTAGACTTATTGTAATATTATGCACTGAGAACAAACAAGCAGAGATGTTGGATCCAGAGCAGACTGTGGAGGACCTTGTGGTCAAACTCGCCTGACTGTTGTAATGTTGTCTGTGTGCTATGTGGTGCGCAGAAACTGTGCAGCTCTCATTTTCCTTGAATGTGTGTGACCTTCATGCATGTTTTTTAATTATATCAATTTTTTTTATAATTTAGTATAATTTTAACAGTTACCTACAGTGTGTGCTTCAACTGCATTTTGGATGGATGGATTTTCTTCAAGGGATTTCTGTTTTGATTGCTAATGCTTGACCTTGATAACAAGCTGTAGAAAACGAGCCTGTAGAAAAAGAGGCTTGACTCTTGAGTGCTTTTTTTCCCCCCTGAAACACAAAGCCTGTAGCACAAGGGCCTGTCATGGATGCCTGAGTGCCAGCCTGACCACTGTATTAGAACTGTGCAAGAAATCAATTCAGGAAATATAGAGGCAATTATTTTGTCTCCCACATTCGCTGACAAAGTAGCAGCTAAGCGAGCCAAGAAAAAAATACAGAATTAAAGAGAAGAAAATAAATAAGTCACCACTGTGTTGTTTGGGGACTGTATATAGAACTTGTGGGTGATTTGAAACCCTGTGTAACTCTGCAAAGCAGCTGTAATTAATGAGGATTGTGAATGTTATTGATTTGCTGGAACCTGCACTCATATTGTACCACGCGGGTGGTTGGAACATAGATTCAGAAACGCGTCACATTTAAGGTCAGATTTTTGAAGTCAGAGTGTTTAGTATATTTTAGCTTCTGTCAAACTGTTGCCTTTAGAGTCAGTGCTTTGTAACACTTTTGGGTATATGAATCATGCACAATATGTCTATGCTCTCGCCCATCAAGTTCATTCAGGCCATCCTGTAGAAAGTAGATTCAGGTCTCTTTCTTATCCTCTTTTTGTAAAAGCCAGTGTTTTGTAGTGTACGTTTAAGCTCCTCATAGTTGCTGGTGGGCCCAGTTTTAAACCACTTATAACACTGAATTGTCCTGAAGTTGTAAACTTCACAAACTGCTACTAAAATGTACTGTAAGTTAAATCATACTCTAAGAATCGTTTGCACTGAGCAATTCCATAAGTTCTGATTTATGAGTTTGAGTCACTACCATAAAATCATCCTCATCAGTAACTTTTATTACTCAAAATGAATTCCTGATTGATTCCATCTTTCATTTCTGTCATTAGCTGTGTGAGTTCTGGCATTTAATCCCTAGTCGGATCTCAGAATGTCATTACTTTCACAGGTCTCTCATGCAGAGCTTTTCAGCCTCTTATTTTCCCGTCAAATGAGGTGTGCAAAGATCAGCTGTAAGCCATCAGCAACAGAGGCCAAATGGAAGGGTAATATACTCCACCTTATGCAAAGATGCACAGCTGCGATCTATGTATTAGCATTTGGGAACAACTCAAACCTCATAATTCTCTGGATAATTAAAAAGGGCACTTTTTCCCCTGTACGGCCTATTATCTCCAAATGAGGCCTATAAGAATTGAGGGAAAGACAGAGGAAGGAAGAGAGAGAGTTGATAGCTTGACAGTTAACAGTTTGTGGAGCCTCCATAGAATTAACGGCATGCTGGGGCGAAGCCAGGGAAGCCTCGGCTGCAGATAGAGCACGTACTTTCCAAAGAGCATGTTCTATGACACAACTGTAAGAATCTGACAGAACATCATCCTGACTGCTGTGAGGAGAAGAATAAATCTTCACTGAAAAGGGAAGAAAATTAAACGGTTCTGGCTCACTGCTAATGAACTGTGATATGTTATAGAAACTGTCTCTTTCATCTATTCTGGACAAAAAAGAAAGACAATACTAAAAGACTACAGTGATGGAAGCCTATACTATATGGCTCTTGCTCATCCTTCCTCCAAGGCATTTTGGTATATGTGGAAACATGGTCTACCATGTCTACCATTAATTACTAATGGTCAATACTTCCAGCCTCATGCTATATATCATTTACAACATGAAACTATTATCCATTTATTTTCAGGAACACGTTTCATGTGAACTTATAAGTAATTATAATGTCAATGCTCTCAAGGGGCCGCTAAACACTGCTCTTAAAGGACAACTATGGTTTATTACAACATGAGTTTTATCTATCTAGATAATATTCTGATTCGGATTGTCTTACTGCTGTAATGTTTTTTACCCACTGGTCCTATCTTTTCCAACTTCACCCCGTTCTGAGATGTTATTACTTTGGTGTGTGCAATTTTTTATATATATATAATTTTTTATTTAATGATAGAACCAATGGCCAGAGCTAGGAAAATAAGTTATAGTTAACCATAGTTATTTTTACTGAAAAGAAACTCTTTACACACATTGGGGTCACACAACTGTAAATGTACTTTGTGTGCTTTATGTTTTTTCCTAGTAATGCACACAAGAAGTATCCCGATAATCAAACTGGATTACCTTAATGTTTAACATCCTTCATTAAGCCTGACATTGTGTTGGCCATTACTTGTTGGCAACCTGTAGAGCTGCGTTAATCTCTTCTGTTGCTGTTTTTCATTATTGTAGCGATGAAGTCAGATAGCTATGAAGGAATATAACAGTAACATAAGCTTGCTTTTCTTAGGTAATTGTCTTCTGATTCTGTGTACCAAGGTAATTTATTTATCATTGTGTGGTTCAGGGTTATATTTATATACCCTTTCATCTTTCAGCATTTTTCATCTGCCAGGAATAAGATTTTTTACCCCAAGAATACTGTTGCATTGATTGTTTGAATCTTTATATGTGCATATTTCTGCGTGCAAATGTGTTTTCTGTGTGTTTGTTATTTGTATACATGAATATTTTTGTCTATATATGTGTGTGGGAAGCATAAGGCTCTGCTTACGATTGCCCTGGTAGTTGAACCCTCTGAAGGGGTGGAGCAGACACTGAGCTCAGACACACCTATTCATCACTCTGAAGCAGGGAGTTCATTAAAATAGCCCATGCAGCCTCCTCTGTGGCTCCTGAACCAGAGCCAACCTCCCATGCTAAACAAACAGGGTCAGAAAGTGATTTCACCACACGCTGATACCAGAGATGCTCACAAGTCCTTATTTGCAAGTCCAAGTCAAGTCTCAAGTCTCCTATGGTTATAATGTTCGTTCTATCATCTGCTGCATGCCACCTGGTCTGCTTAGAACAGCATAGTATTAGTATTAGCTAAAAATCGATATAGATTAACATTAGGTTAACAGCAAAATATTTCTGACTTTATTAAGTATGCAATAACTGTAACCTATTTTTCAATAACAGAGTACAACTGTATTGTATAATTATACTGGATCTCCAACTAATGACAACTCATAGGTTACGAAATAGGTTAAGAAAAGTATGTTTTTGAAATTGCTAGACTAGACTCCAATTTTCAACAAAACAGGTAGCAGGTAACAGAACAAGTTCCATACTGACATTTCTCACCAGTTAAGGTGCTTAATTAGCAACAAACAAATAAAAACAAATAAAAGACTAAAACAAATAAAAGAACAGAAAAAAAGGAAAAAAGTGGTAAAAAAGCTAATACATTACCCAAAAATTCTAAATCTGCATGCATTACTTACTCATTGTAATCTGGAATGAATAGCTAAGTGCACCAGATGCGTAAGGTTATGCACGACAATGAGTGAGGGAATGGCATTCAACTTGCCAGACATTTCCATAATGTTAATGTGACAAAAAAATAAAATAAAGATTGTTCACGAGTTCCACAACTTGAGTCGAGTATTTTGAGGATGAGACTCGAGTCATGTCTCAAATCACTGTGACTTCAGTCCAAGTTGCAAACTCAAGTCCCCATTACTGCGAGGAGCCGCAGTGAGCTGTTCTATGAAGAGTTGCAGGCTGCACACCTCCAGCTTCACAGGTAACCAACACCTTT